GGAGTTGACCTCCAGGCCATCAGCCCAGTGTCCCGTTTTCATTCCTCTTGCTTGACAACTCTGCAGCTCAGCGCCCTACTGATCAAGGCCTCTCTACTTCTCACCTACATTTCTTCATTCCTATTCTCGCCCCTCCCCCCAGTTTCTAATGTCAACAAAAAGGGCGTAACTTTCCACACCTGTATACATAAGCGCATATATAATTCATAGGCAAATGTTTATATGTTTGCTTTTTCTGAAATATTGTTCATATTACTTTACGATTTCCTTTTGTCATTTGACATTATGACTTAGTCTATAAATCAGAAGATACATTTCTAGTTCTACCTTAAAACATTTTTTTTTTTTAGTATATAAATGTATGTATATTCAGACATAACTGAGGCTTTTTTGGTGGCTGGGGGGTGTGGGGAACCAAACCCTTGACCTTGGTGTTATAAGGCCATGCTCTAACTAAATGAGCTAACTGGCCAGCCCCAGACATAACTGAGTTTTCAAGTGATTATATTTTTAAAAGATTGTAGGACCATACCCTAGTGAATGGATTAATAATGGTGGTCAGGGGTGTGGTTCTGAGGGCTTTAAAATGGTCCTACCATACCCTAGTGAATGGATTAATAATGGTGGTCAGGGGTGTGGTTCTGAGGGCTTTAAAAAGGAGAACTGCATGAGGAACCATCTCTCTCTCTGCTCTGTCACCTTATGCTGTGTGAGACCTCTGGGTCACCGTCACCACCATGAAGACCCTCACCAGATGTGTCCCCTGGACTTTGGGCTTCCCAAGCCTCTGAAACTATAAGCAATAAATTTCGTTTTCTTATAAATTCCCCAGTTCCAGGTATTTTGTTATAGGCAACAGAAATGGACTAATACACAATGATATATGAGAATTGTATGACATTCCAATTTTTAGTGTCCATAGTTTTATGGCAGCACAGCTGTGTTCATCCATTTGTGTACTGTTGATGACTACTTTGCTTACAATGGCAGAATTGAGTGGCTGCAACAGAGATCATGTGGCCTGCAAAGCTTAAAATACTTACTGTTTCCCTTCACAAAAAAAGTCTGTCTACCCCTGTTAAACCCCTGCTTAAACCAGATTTTACCTCCATCGACTCTCTATGTGACCTTAGGCTGGTCCGCTCCCCTTCTAGATCTACCTGTGTAAACAAAGGGTCCTGAGGAAGATGATGGCCAGGCTCCCCTTGGAGGTCAAGTTCTGCACTTGTTCCGCAGGGCAGGAGAAGCAGGCAAGAGCAGCCGCTGGTGCCACCTGCAGCCCACAAGGAAAAGGACAGGCAAGGAGGCTGCCTGCTGAGGAACCTCAGCAGGTATGTCTTCTTTGGTGGGGGCTCTTAAATAACTACCTCCCTAAAATGATTCCATTAATGAACAAAATCCTGAACAAAATTTACACACTTTTAATTTTTTAAATTAAAAATTTTTTCTTTTTGGCAGCTGGCCGGTATGAGGATCCGATGACCTTGGTGTTCTAACACCCAGTTCTAACCAACTGAGCTAACCGGCCAGCCCCACACTTTTTAAATGGATAGACCACAACTCCAAATAGAAATACATCTTCCAATATCCACTTTTGGAATGAATGCCTCCTCTCAAAATAGAATACATCTTCCAGCTTTTGCTTCAGGAGTAATTGCTACCCCCAAAATAGAAGGATGGCAAGTCATATACTACCACAGAGAACTAAAGAGGACAACGTGTCTGTTCTTTCTAGGTCTCTGAAGGAAGAGCAATTAACTTCTGAACCTTTAAGCTCTAACACACCAGGCAAGCAGGTTTTGGCTGAGGAAACCCGTGCCAAAAGAATGCAAATAACGAGTAAAGCAGTTGATTCTGCCAGCTCTGGACCAGACCCAAGACCCTCACCCCAGAGATTCTCACCATGAGCCGACACGCCCAACATTCCCTTCCCAGGCGAAGACAGGTGAAGCCCATGCCCCTTCAAAGCAAAAGACTCAGGCTGAAGATCTGTTATCCTTCAACTTCCCCCAGAACCCTAACGCTGTGCAATGCTACATCTGGGCTGTTTGCAGCGAGCCCACTGCAGGTGTGATACGGTCCTCAAACAGCACCTCCAGTCTTCCCAGCCCTGTACCCTCCTGTAGTTCCTTCCATCCCCCAGTCTGGGCTGCTCTTGTGATGTGCTTTGAGCAGAACGTAGCAGAAGTGACGGTCTGAGACTTCTGAGCCCAGAGAGGATTGGAAGCTTTCGCTTTTTCCCTCTCAGAGCCCAGTGCCAACCTACAAGGAGGTCCAGGCTAGACTACTGAATGACGGGGGCCACCTGGAGAGAGGCCTGGCAGGCTGAGAGGCCAGCCTGGACACTGAAAGCAGCCACGTGAGAGAGACCCAAGTGAGACCGGCAGAACCACCACCCACAGAACTGCGAGAGATGATGTAGCAGGAATTACAAATCTCCATTTGTGAACTAACTTTTCAAGGCAAGAAAGAGACTCAGAATAGTCTGACAGGAGTTTTTCATGTGGTGTCAAGAGCCTCCAACTTACTTCATCGTCTTCCTCTTCATCATCATCAGATTCAAGGACACCGTCCACGAGCTCTTCTATAAAGAAAAAAATCAATAAATAACTGTGAACACAGCGGGAGCTTGGCCAACAAAATCCTTCAGCCACTGAGAGCCCTGTAAACACTGCAGTGAGAGTTAGGTTACATCAGAGTAACCAGCTGCTAACCATTCCTACCCGTAACCGTTTCAGCCACAGCTGATGTCAGCCTAAGAAATTCTAAATAAATCTCTTCATTTTTATCAGAGCACATTTATAGTAACATGGGAAAAATTAAAAGCCAACATATAAATTGAGGGGTATGTGGGGAAGGACAGTCACACACGTTATTTAACTTAATCCTTACAAAGATTTTGTTGACTATAATCCCCCATTTTACAGGTAACCAGTGGAGGCATAGAGAGAATAAGGGACTTGTTTATGGTCACACTCCCAGTAAGTGGCAGCATCGAGTCTACTTCTCAACCCCATGATTTTCCATGGGGTCTGGGTGGTGGTCACGGAGGAGGGTTCCTGGAGGCTCTGTGCTTCATTGCTAAACCTTTAGAAAATTTACGAAGGAGCAAGAAGTTAGAAGCACAATGGACTCAGACAAAGAATGAGCCCCTGTTTTCTCATCTGTAAAACGCGGATCATACCACCTACTTCTTAAGGTTGTTGGGAGGACTTCAGTACCCCAGAACGATGCACAGCGGGCGTTACAAAGATGTTGAACACTTTCTCCTCCACGAAGCCATCCCTGGTCCCCTAGCTAAGCAGTCTTCTCTCCCTCCTCTGCACACACTCAGCGTTTCATCTAGAGCTCCTGACAGTCCCCTCCACTTCCGGACGATCGCTCTTTTCTAATGAACGGATGGCTGCTGACTTGTCTGGGTATCTTTCTCATCCACTGTATGGAACTGTACTGGAGAGTGAGTCCCTGGGGACAAAGCACCTGACTGACTCATCCCCACATCCCTAATGCATCTTCCCTACTATCACTCATTTCTTGAATGAATGACATGAAGGTAAAGAAAGCCTGAAAAAAGAAGATAGGAAGTCAAACAGGAAGAAAGAGAAAAGGATGAAACGAAGGCCACACTTCAAGAAATTGCCCAGCTCACTTATAAAGGTTGCAGGCAGATGCCCAAAGTTTGATCAAACACCAAACCACTTCCTAGGAGGGAACATGTAGAAATGCCAGGACATCCCATGCCTTCGACACAGCCCTCATTCTAAAGGGAAGGACTCCACTACTTTGCTGGACCGAGGCCAGCACTGTGCGAGGGCATGTACGCCTCCATGCCCACCATGGCTGCACCAGTGGCATGGAATGCTGTCTAGTCCAGAAAGCTACTTTACAGACAAGAGGATGTTATATCATTTTGCATTTCGGCTGAAGTTTAATCACCTAACTTCTAGTCCCCACTCGTGAACAGCTCACTCCATTCTACCTTTAGGAAGTGCCTTTCAAAGTGGTGGTGCTGTGGGTACTCTCCAATTATAAACCTCTCACTTTCAGATACAGAAATGCCCACTTTTTAGAATCTTGGCCATTTCATGTGGCCACAGACAGTCCAGCCACACTCCTCTTTCCCTGCCCTCCCCTGCCCAGGTCCAATCCCCCTGACTCCCTAATCTCTTCACCTGTCACTCAGACTCATCCCACTACCCAGAATAATCCAGTCCTGTGAACTGAAGTACCTTATAGACCTTAGCTCCTCCTCTCTGGGATGACCATCTCCCATCCCATTCCCTGAGGTGGGGCATACCCATAAGGTGCCCTCATTCCAATAATTAATATGGCATGGCACTGGAGTGGCCAGTGTCCTTCACTTCCTAAGGGCCCAGCTGGGGAACCTGCTGTGCCTTGCTCCTGCCCAGTGACCTGGCTGGTGCCTCTGTCTTCTCTTCAGTGACTGGCTAGTATCTGCTGGTTGTCCTTACTGAGGGCTGCAGTTGTGGCCCGGGGCCGAGCCAGGGGACAAACCTCCCCACTGTGGCTGCTGGCAGCTCAGTTCACTTGTGTCACCAGGCTGGAATTTTCCTTTAACCTTCACCAGAGTAGTCTTTCTTCACCTGTGGAGTTAGTTTCCCAATATACCTGAACTTCGTACTTGAAGACCTTAAAGCTTTATCGGAATGGAAGACTGCAATCAGGCTTGCATGTATGAAAACCCACATACGTGTTTTTATATTCACTAAAATAAAACAAGCCAATACTCTAAATAAAAATGGCGGCAATGCCATTTCACATATCTTAAACTAGTAAACTAGCAACAATTCACACTCTGCTACAAATTTTCACTTGAGGATGAAGACTGGGATGGAAACTCTAGCCTCTCTTCTCCTACGTTTCCTTTTGATTTGAGGCTGGTGGTACATGTCCTAAATATGTGCGTGTGTGCAGTCCTCCATCCAAATGTTCAGACTTTTGAATTGTTTCAAAGTAGCAGACTTCTTTTCTTTTTTTTTTTTCTTTTTTGTCTTTTTTCGTGATCGGTAACGGGATCGCAACCCTCGGTGTCGCGTCTGCACCGCGCTCAACCAGTGAACAGACTGGTCTCTATATGGGATCCGAACCCTCAGCGGGAGCGCTGCCACACTCCCAAGTGCCGCACTCTACCGAGTGCGCCACCGGGCCGGCCCAAAGTAGCAGACTTCTGGGTAATCGTCTCTGGGGTCCTGCCACTGTCCTATGGATATGGAATAACTTAGGTATTTGAGAAGACAAAAGACATATTTTAGGCACTCTTTATTTAAATAGGAATTCACTGAGCTGAGTATTTCCAGAATACCCATAGTTATAAAGCTTTAGCTCTGCCCATGGTAAGTTTTTGCAAAGCACATCCCTTACAAAAGTGTAAAATGTCTCCTCTCTTATCACACTCCAGCATGCTGTCCAAGGGCCAAGTTTATGTAAGAGAAAGAGACGTTTTTGGGGCCAGAGAGCAAAGGGGCCTGCATCCTGCTTCTTGGCTGCCAAAGAGGAGGAAAGACTGACAAGGAAATGGATGTGGGTGTGGCTCAACAGTCAAACACACAGGCAGCCTTGAAGAAGATTCCTAACACAAATGTGACCCTAAAGCTGCAGATCACTATAGAGTACGCAAGCAACAACTACCCCTCCCTTTCTCTGCACCCCACCCCCCACCCCTGCCGGCCACACAGCGCCCTACCCAGAGAAGGTAGGGGAGCAAGCTCAGCCAGGACTGAAGTTAAGGTTTTATTTCATTTTATTCTTTTTAATATACCAGAATGGGGGCTCAGAGTCAGAAATGAAATTGTTGCAGAAAATAAAGTTCTACTCAAAGCAACATAACTAGCTATAAAAAAGAAAAAGAAAAGCAAGTTCTTTTTTTTTTAAAAGATGACTGGTAAGGGGATCTCAACCCTTGGCTTGGTGTTGTCAGCACCACGCTCAGCCAGTGAGCCAACCGGCCATCCCTATATAGGATCCGAACTCATGGCCTTAGTGTTATCAGCACTGCACTCTCCCGAGTGAGCCACGGGCCAGCCCAAAAAGCAAGTTCTATTATTCTTTGCCCACCTGAATTTGGGATGAATTATACTTGCTTCATAAAAACCAAAGGGGAGGATGTTTAAATGGAAAGGGGCAAAGACTGCAAGGCTCCTGGGCTGCTCTCCCCAGCTGCCTCCTCTTAACCAGAAGCCCCTGAAAACACTTCTCTTCTGAGCCCTGGCAGTGATGCTCTGCCTTGGCTGCACATTGGAGTCACCTGGGGGCTTTAAAAGCTCCTCTCCCCCCAGAGATTTTGATTTAATCAGTGTGGGGTTCTGCCTTGAGGATTTAAAAATCTCCCCAGGTGACTGCCCTGTGCAGCGCAGGCTGTGAACCAGGAGCTAGAGGAAAGGACACCTGTGGGCTTCTGCCATTTCGCTTTTGCTTAGCCCTTGGTCAATCAAGTGGCTGACTTGTGAGTAGAGATCAGGAGATTCATGTTTTACCTTTTGCTTGCCCTGGCAGTGATGCTCTGCCTTGGCTGCACATTGGAGTCACCTGGGGGCTTTAAAAGCTCCTCTCCCTCCAGAGATTTTGATTTAATCAGTGTGGGGTTCTGCCTTGAGGATTTAAAAATCTCCCCAGGTGACTGCCCTGTGCAGCGCAGGCTGTGAACCAGGAGCTAGAGGAAAGGACACCTGTGGGCTTCTGCCATTTCGCTTTTGCTTAGCCCTTGGTCAATCAAGTGGCTGACTTGTGAGTAGAGATCAGGAGATTCATGTTTTACCTTTTGCTCATGTACTGAATAGGACTTGTGCACTTGGACTTGCAGTGATGTGGGCGGCTGGGTGTTATGGAAGAGCACGTAGAGAGACATAAGTGACAACCTGGGCCCCTGCATGCCTGCAGTGCCAGGTGCTTCTGGCATGTGAATGGTGTTGGGAGTCCACAGAGAGCGCCAAGAGCTTCCCCACCACCCCTGTGCCATCCAAAGCTTCCCTAGCCCGCCTCTCCTGGTGATTATGGGATGTGGGTTGTTATAGTATTGGAGGAAGCTGATAGAAAGGGGATTAATTGCCTCCATCCCTGCTGCCAGTTGGCAACATAAATTTATCTGGAGTGAATGAATAAATGTGGAAGGATGATGGCATCTTCTAAAGGCTGCTATAAAGACTGGCATCTGTTTTCATTATTTAATCCCCAGGGACCTTGGGGAAGCCACCCTTATTAAATGGGGCAAAATTTAGGTGGGGAAAGGGAAGGGCTGCGTAAAGATAAACTACAAGGATAGGGAAGGGTTGTTGAAATTGCTTTTAAATCCTTTTTACTGACTATATGCCTAGGGTATGATAAGAGATTGTTAATCTTCGGACAATCTGGCCTTGACTACCTGATTGAACTTTTGTTAGTTCACTTGGGTCTCCCCCACTCCTTAAAGTCCTCTTTGAAAGAATTCTAAGGTATGACAAGCCCATCTGCGAAGGCATATATATCTTTCTGGCACATGTGAACGATTAAAAGATAGATCGTGGGTTCTTGCATTAAACTGACCGGAATTAAGCTGCTTGATGATAAATTCTATCTGGCGGATCATCTCAGCATTGCCTTCCTTGATGAAGCAGCGTAGGATGTCTTCCATTCCCTAGAAACATTGGAGAGAGTAACAGTTAACATTTCGGCGTTTGGGGGGAAACTACTTTTCAATGGGGTAGTTTTACCTAATCCAAAAAAAACCAAACAAACTGGGGGAAGGGGAGAGGATACGTACAATAAAAATCCTCTGCTTAGTACCAAACATTCTTTTTGTTATTTTTATAATTCACAGTGAAATTATTTTCTTCTTGGTTGACTATGACAATTATAACAGATTTAGCAAAAGAACTACTATAGAATTCTACTGCAAAGTATTGCCTTTAGTTTTAATGACACGTTGTTTTCAGAGGTAGTTTGTTACCTGTATTTTTTCTAAGTTTATTTACTGCCCTCTGGATTTTAGGACCAAAAATGACCTTTGAAAAGTGGAACCATACATTTAGAGAAGTAAATAAACAAACAGAACCCCTATTTTTTTTTTTTGGCAGTTGGCTGGTATGGGGATCTGGACACTTGACCTTGGTGTTATGAACCTCTCTTTAAACAGCTATCATTCTTTGTTTGTCAAAAGAATTATAAAATTACTACATTATGCATTATTTTCCTTATTATAGTATACCGTCACCAGAACTTTCAATATTAGCTGACAGAATCCTAGGGAAGTGTAGAGGTAAAATACTGACTTAAGCACAGTGTCTAGTGCCCCTCCTCCTCTTTCCTTGCAGGACTTGAATAAGTGTGTACGTCTGGAGCTCATGAGGCCTTCTTGCCACCATGAGGGGAAAGTGTGTCTAAGAATGAGCCCCATACAGAGGAAGCAGAGGCCAGAGGTGCTGGCAGAAAAATAGATCTAGTGACATGTGAATCCTGATCAAACGGTACCTGAAGCTTCCACTGAACTTTCTAGTTACGTAAGCCAGTAAATTCCCTTTTTTATGTAGGCCAGTTTAGAATAACTCGAACTGAATCAAAAAAGTGCCAAGTGCAACTTTGAACATGTTGAGTTCTCATGATCCAAAGCAGAGCATTACCCTCTAGACAGGTTAAATCAGGATTCTAATTTGGACTGTAATCCTAGTTTCCCCGTGAATTTAATGTGTGACCTTACTCAAATTACTTAACTTCTCCCAGCCTGTTTCCTCAACTATAAAATGAGGATGACAACTTGAGTTGACATGAGATTTTTAAAAGACAAAGTATGTAATTGAGTTATTGGTTATATAGATATATACCTTAGTCAAGATGCATTGAACTGTTTATAAATTATACCTTAAAAATGGGCCGGCCCAGAAAATATAAATATTTTTGAAGATTATAATATATATTGCCAAATTGCTTTCCAAAATGCTGTATCAATTTATAATCCTCTCAGTAAAATTTCCCCATTGATTTTGAAGGGCCCATACCTAATGGGTGCTGTGGAATGCAGTAAACAGGTTGAGTACCTGTCATGGACGATTGCTCTAATTGTGGCTGATGAGTACCTCTTAAACAGCTTCTCTAAGTTGTGTTGCTTTCCCAAGGCAGCAGCCAGAATAGGAGCATTCCTAGCCTCCCTTGCAGCTAGGGCACAGGCACACACCCTTAATTCTGCCAAGCAAATGCATCCATGTGAGACTTTGATTCGGAAGTGGGCAATGTGAAGAACCAGGCACATGGATACACAGCTTTTTGGTGGTAGACACCCAGCCCTCTGGAAGAGTGGAGACAGAGCTTCTGGCACTGAGGCCTTGAGCTGTGGGCCCCAGAGTCACTGGTGGCATCACTGGAGCAGCTCCATGTAGTGTTTCGGCATTCCTCTGGGCTGGTGGCTTCTAAGCTCGGCTTCCTGGCTCTCCCAGACATTCCAGGAGCATTCATTCATTCATTCATTTATTTATTTACTTGTGTATTTGTGTATTTATGTATCATAGAGCAGATGCTTCTTCTGTCACTCTGAAATGGGCTTTGAGGAGAGAGACATCCTCTTCTTTATCTCTGGTGGTGACTCTCCTTGTGTCAATGCACTCCAGTGGCTGGTGGACCATCTGCATGGNAGGCCAGAGGTGCTGGCAGAAAAATAGATCTAGTGACATGTGAATCCTGATCAAACGGTACGTGAAGCTTCCACTGAACTTTCTAGTTACATAAGCCAGTAAATTCCCTTTTTTATGTAGGCCAGTTTAGAATAACTCAAACTGAATCAAAAAAGTGCCAAGTGCAACTTTGAACATGTTGAGTTCTCATGATCCAAAGCAGAGCATTACCCTCTAGACAGGTTAAATCAGGATTCTAATTTGGACTGTAATCCTAGTTTCCCCGTGAATTTAATGTGTGACCTTACTCAAATTACTTAACTTCTCCCAGCCTGTTTCCTCAACTATAAAATGAGGATGACAACTTGAGTTGACATGAGATTTTTAAAAGACAAAGTATGTAATTGAGTTATTGGTTATATAGATATATACCTTAGTCAAGATGCATTGAACTGTTTATAAATTATACCTTAAAAAATAGCATCTAGTCCAATGGCTGGTACGTAGTAGATGTTCAACAAATGGTCAAGATTGTGCTTGCCATGTCTGGTATGGGCTTGTGGCTCAGAAGAGAGATCTGGTGACTGAGGCCAAGGGAGTAAATAAGATTCCCCAGTGACAGCAGAGAAGGGCAAAGGATTAGGACAGAACCTTAGAGAACAACAAAACTTAACTGGGAGGCAGAGACAGGCAAGCCTACAGAGGAGACCATGAAGGAGTAGTCTGGAAGGGAGGAAGAACTCTGGAAAGGTGTCCCTGAGTCAAGGGAGGAGCATTTCAAAGAAGGCCAGCAGTGCCCAGGCTCCTGTGGGACCAGTCAGACACCTAACTTGTCTCACCAAAGGGACAGTCATGAACCAATGACTGCCTTACCCCTTCATTGCCAGGAGAGCTGAATTTATGTCTTTCTATCTCATAAACTATTCTCTTCCCTATTCTCCGTCCACACTCAAGGTAAGGGTCAGGGGAAGGAGAACATTATCAAGTGAAAGGAATGTGATAAACCCTCAGAATCAGTGTCAATGTCCTGAACATTTTACCAGTGAAATGAGATAAATTATTCATCCAGGCTCTCTTCTATGTCTTCTTCCATGATGTTACTTTTGCAAGCAATTATCTGCTAATAAATTTAAAAGCTCCCCTCCCCCAGAGATTCTGATTTAATTGGTGACATGATCATTTTCAAATGACATATGATCGTTTTCATATGTCAATAAAAACCTTGCAAACAAAATTTAATAACTATAATAATGGTAGCAGCTAACATCTCTCAGTGCTTACTGTGTCAAGTGCTATTCTAGATATTCGCAAACAAAATTTAATAACTATAATAATAATGGTAGCAGCTAACATCTCTCAGTGCTTACTGTGTCAAGTGCTATTCTAGATATTTTACACATATTAGCTCCTTTAATTCTCACAGTCCTATGAGTTTGGTACTATAGTAATCCCCATTTTACAGATGGAAAAAGGCTATACTGAAGGGTTAAGTCACTAGCCCAACCATATACGACTGGGAAGTGGCAGAGCAAGAGTCAAACACAGCCTCAGGCTTGGCAGCTCCCACTCTTAAGGCTTCACACTCCTGCCTCTCTTCTGACTTAATCATTCCTCTAATGTTGGGCATTTAGGTGTTTCCTGTTTTCCACTATGATCAATAATGCTATAATGAACATTTTGATTCATAAATTTTCATTCATGTTTTATATGGAGCCCCAGAAGTAGAACTACTGGGCAGAAAATATA